CTGTCCCCTGGGCTCGGCTTTTGGTGGACTCCACCAAAGCGCGAGGCTGTCCCCCCCTCCCCCCCCCCGAGGCTGTCACCCCCGCAGGGTGAGCGACCCCTCCCCAGAGCCGGGACGGGAGCTCCCCCTTTACTCGGTTCGCTTCCTGCAATGCCCCATGAGGATGAACTTCACTGTGAAGGCCTCAGTTTCTTCCAACCTACATTTTAACACTTGCCGTAAGGGCTGTGAAGGAAAACCTCATCAGCCTTCTTCCCCTCGCCAACTCTTCTTTCCCTTTCTGCTTCCCCAAAGATGGATCTGGCTTCTCAGCTCGTGGGCAGCCCCATAGCAGAGGGATAAACTGGTGGGGCCCGGCTTTCCCGTAACCCCGCTGCAATCTGACCTGCTTTGCCAATTTGCTTGCACTTGTGCTGGTGGAACCAGGGTGATAGAATCAGTTGACCATAAACATGAACAGTGCTGCTATGTTCCTGGTACAGACCCACCCACCTGGACTTTAGGTCTGGGAACGGAGGGTCTATTCTCTAGGTAAGCATGAACGCTGACCATAGTGGGCAATTGTGTTTTTGTCAAGAGAAATGATGGAGTGTGGTTCTGTGAAGCGGACTGAAGAAACCGACCAGGACTGCCAAGCTTGCGAGCCCAGTGGGCAAAAGGTAATTCCGGCAGGGGGAGATCGCGACCACCGACTCACTGGCGCCCTACTCAAGTAATACCACCTACTCAAAAAGGAGCAATGCAAGAGGGTAACTGAGTCTGCGTGACAATTTACGTAAGAAGCGAGAAAAGTTTACACCAAAGAGAATCATATTGAATATGCATGAATAGAATAAATAAGTATATTTTTGATCTATTCCACGTTCGGTGGAATTATCCCCCGTGCATCCAGCGCTGCGATAAAGAATGCCTGCCTTTTAACACTACATTGGTGTTACAAGGTTTTATTCCCGGATTTTCGGTGACAATGGCAATTAGTGGAGTTTTACATCTTGTGTTTCCTGTTGCCAGCTGTTTGCCTTCAGCTTTCCCCATCTCCAGTATCTAAGGTAACTAGAACCAGCCTGGGTCTCTTCCTTGCTTTTTTTGCCATCGCATATGTACCCAGCCTTTCTTCTTCAAAGCAAAATAGTCTCCATTTTTTGCAGAAGGCCCCGAGATGGTCAAGTCTGGATTATTTCCACGTACAACTGCCTGTGGCACAAATGCAGGTGGACCCAGATACCCCACCTCCCAGCAGCACCAGTTCACGCACAGCTGGCCACTGCCTGGGAGCCAGGGCCAGCCACCACTCATCTCCAGCCTCTCTGAGCCTTCGAGGAGAGCAGATCAGATGGCCTTGGCCACCCAGATGTCAAAATAGTCCAAGACACATGCACTCTCTATTTTTTTTTCCCTCTTTTGCAGGCAAACAAGCAGAAGCACACGACTAACCCACTGGCGATGTGCTGAAATGGAAAGGCTTTAGAGGAGCACATGGGTTTCTCTCCAGAGGTTTCTCCTTGGGATTTTTATCCGCATTGACATGCCAGGCTGGGAAAGCACCTGAGGAGATGGCACAGCCTATCCGAGTCAGTAACCCGTCAGCTCAGAGGAGTTCGCCTGATATTTCTGACCTGCTGCCATCTATCATGTCAAAAAACCCACTGCTGGAGAAGAGCCTCGGATCACATCAGCACAAAGGACCGTGACAGCCGAGCAGGGTAAACAAAGCCAGTCCACGCTTAACCGAAGCCGTGATGGCCCCTCGAGTCAGTATTACCCACACTCGAGAGACCCTCCACAACGCAGACCCCCACATGGGCTCGGGGCAGATTTTAGGGACACCCCTATGCTCAAAGCGGAGTTCAGGCTGCTTCCCTTGACCCCAACCCCAAACCCAGGGCCAGCACTGATTTGAAAGCACGGCGAGGTGTGCCAGAACAGAGAGGGTTTCATGGTTATCCCAAAGATATAGCAGGCATCCCATAGTGCTACTTCCCCTCGCCGCACTGGAGGCGTAACAGAGCAAAGGCCATGTAAGTAATGGTTAAGAGAATGAAATATGCTAACCAGGACTTACAGAGCAGCTCACCCCACCCCTCGGTACAGCACAATAAGTCAATTGTAAAATCCAGTGGGACTGGCCCGAAGAAATTTCCTAAACACACAGTGGAAATGTCCAGAGACCCTGACGTGGGCGGCTCCAGTGCTTCCGGGCGTCCTCGCTTTGGCAGAATCAATCTGTCAACACTTAGCAATGGCACGGCAGTCACTTTTAAAGATGTCGTGGGGACTGAATTCAATATATCAACTGCAGAGAAGATTTGGGCCAGCTTAATTTTAAGAGGAATTAGCAAGCTGGGTATTTCAGTTGGAGAACATCAGATTAAATCAGTCACCAGTTGGTTGAAGCTATCCACAGGTTTGAGCCCTTGGAAAGATGGGTTAGTACAAAAGGCGCCCAGTGAAAGCAACTTGGGAGAGTGAGGTTAAAGGAATTAACATGCAAAGAAAACAAAAGGTTCTGAAAAGGTACCTGCCTCACCATCGTACTTGGAGCTGGAAAGCCCAGCTGGGAGGGTTTTGCATCTCTGCATGGCTGTGTTATAATTGCTGCAGTGACAGGGCAGAAATTTTCTCCCCATTTCTTCCACTGGTTGCAGAATCCCCACGTCTACCCAGGGCCGGGACAGCATTGCCATCTCATGGTGGCACCTTGTCCCCATCAGCTGGGTGAGACAAGTGGCCCAGGCAGGGTGGGCAGGGGCAGTGGGACCTTCCCTTTGCCCTGCAAACCCTTCTGGCTTTGCTTGCTGTGGCAGAGCCAGAGCGATGGGACTTGGAGGACAGGGATGCCCGAGTCGCAGATTGCAGCTCTGTGCTCCATTCCTCCCTCCCAAATTAGGTACCCTGGTCCTGGTCCTTACTGGAAGGGGCATTGCAGGGCTGATGGATATCTCTCAGGGAAGGAAATGAGATGCTTGAGATGGTGGCTTAGCCCACGAGACACAGTTGCAGCACTCCTGACTTGTAATCACCCAGGCGAGTCCAAAACAAACCATGAATCAATCTCCGCAGCTTACCTCCATTAGGGACTCCGACAGCAACATCCTCCCGCTGCCCATGCTGGCACGCCTGCAGCATCCCACCCAAAAACAGGCTGGAGGGCTGCTCAAGGGGCTGGCACGCCTGCAGCATCCCACCCAAAAACAGGCTGGAGGGATGCTCACGGGGACCGCCACGCTGCTGCCGCTGCTCGAGCTGGACCCGAATCCCTGCAGATGCTAAACCCAGCAGGAACTGGTGAGTGATGAACATGAAATGAGAGAGCAGATTGTTTCTTTTTTTTTATTAGACTAGGAAATATAATTTATTGCATAAAAATTAATTTCTTACAATAGGAATGCTAAACTTTATTTACAGTTCTTTAGTTTACAGAATAAACAGATGTGGTTTTAGAGGATGCCATCAGGCCCATCCCCTGGACATATAAATATGGAAACAGATTGTGGAGCAAGAGACGGACACTGCCAGCATGACACAGACCGCAGATTTGCCTTCACGAAAAAGCCCGGCCAGAGAAACCCCCAGTCATGGAGGGAGACGCAGAGGGCTCCTGGGAGCTGGCACCCATGGGAGATGGGCGCAGGCGCTCAGAGGACCAGGGTGAGGGGCAAACCCTGCCTCCCCCCCGTCCCACTCCTGACGCAAGTTCCTTGGTCTGAAAAACAGGGGAACCCCCTCAAACACACACCTGGGCGGATCCAGGCGGCTGCTGCCTGCCAAAAGGAAGGGGAAGACGAACACGGACGGATGGGGACGGAGGCAGAGCTGCCCACGGGCGGGATGGACAGATAGATGGATGGATGGACAGGCACGCACGCCGGCAGTGATCCGTGAACCAGACACAGCGAGAACAACAGCGAGGGAGATACAGACGCGACCCGAAAGAAGAACATCTTATCTCACGGAGAGCACTGTGGTGCTGAGAAAGGAGCCCTATAAAATGCCAGCAGCTGGTCTGATACATCAATTCTTCATTTCTTTCCAAATTTACTTATTGCCCATCAGCTCAGAGATGGGGTCTCAGAAGTCGGATGAGCAAATGCAACCTAAAGGATAGATAGAACCCTTTGTATGTGACACTGGAGTTCACTCAGCAGGAGTCTTCCCATCCAGTAAAAATGAAAAAAGTCCCCTTTCTCCCACAGCCTTGAAAAACCAGCGAGAAATGAACCCCAGAGACCCCGAAACACAACAGGGAGCGGCTCTACGCACCCAATCACTGCTTCAAGAGCTGCCAAAAGGAATCACACCCGTGCCCGAGCAATACTGAAAACTCCCCCTGAGCCACTCTGTGAAGGCGACGCTCTGGCTCACGGCAGGGCTCCCTGAGTTCGCTCCGGTCTCCAGCACACTGCGGGATGCTGCCACGGTACCATGTGGCCGGTACCATGACACCAGCCCAGGGCTTCGCAGCCAGCAGGACACTGCACACTGCAGCCCAAAGCAGGGCCTGCTCTCAGACCCTGTTCTTAATACTTCCACTGATGGAGAATCCACAGCCTTGCCATGTGATCTAGTCTAATCCTGAGCTTACTGTCCCCTTCTAATTTTTTTAAAAAACAGACAAATTTCTAAGATACAGCACTTACTGAGTAACTATTTCTATCTGCAGGCAATCTAAATTTTTACCCTTCATTGAGACACTGTATCTTTGTGACGAACATCATTCCTGCCTACCCCTTGATGACTTTCCGTTCATCCCACAACTTCTCCATCGTTGTAAAGACTCTATTACAGGTCACAAAAGGAGCTACAATGAGAGGATGGAAACCCAATCACCACTTACGATGCCATCCCTCACATGAAAATGCTCAGCCTGGCCTGCAACTTGGAGATGTCCCTCCTTGAATCCCCGATGAAATACTGCATCAAAAACTGGGCACAAGCGCACGGACCCGAGACCACCATGCTTTGCAAGGGGCCGCATCCTGGCCCGCCAGCCCTCTGCTCTCTCCAGACCCCTCCACAAGCTGCCCATCACCTCCCTCCGACTCCAGAGCTGAATTCTTTGGTTTGTACTGAAGTTATGTAAATGAAGGCGTAGTCATCCTAAAAAGCTCCCTGAAACGATGCCAGGGAAGAATTCATTAAAAATACCCATATCTGGACATACACCCCCCCCTCCCGAACCCTAAACGCAGGGCAGCATCCCTCACCCCTCTTTGCAGGCAGAGGGGGACCCCTCGCTCCGCCGGGTGCTGCTGCCAGGGAAAGGGGGGT